CCTCCTGACTGGTATGCATGGGGCCAAGGGCAGGGGCGGCTACGTCTGGTCAGGTCACATTAAGGCTGAATCCCATGAGGCCAGTGACCTTCACCCAATCTTGACACCATTGTCTGCTGTGGTCCGAGATACTGTCTCATGAGCGTCCACGTCCCTTGTTCAATCCTGTTCCCACTGTGGGAATGGCTCAGAGCTCACATCCTGCCCACAGTGGGTCTGGGCTTCCCAGGTGTGATGGGCTGAGGAGTGGTCCCGAGCCCACAGATGCGGGACTGTCAGAAACTGGGTGAAATCACCACAGCTGAGCCACTTCTAAAGCACCCAGAAACATTTCCTGCAAACAAGGCCCCCCTGGGAGGGTGCTGGCTGGCCTCAGAGCCCCAGGGCAGAGGGGACTGGAGGGCAGGACTTGGTAGGGGAGAGGTGAGTGAAGCCCACAGGCTTGAGTTTGCTTCCAGGACTGCTGAGAAAGCTCCCCACTCCCCTCCCCACACTCCCACATGCGTTTCTCAGCTGGGAAATGTGATTTGGCCCTGCAAGAGGGAGGGGCAGGGGGAGGAGGCCTCTGACCTAGGCCTGGGCTCAGGCCTGGCTTCTGCCCTGGCTCTCTCAACCCCAGGAGCCAGCCCCGCAGAGGGGAACGGCCTGGGCAGAGCCGGCATCTGGGGCCCCCGGTGTTGAGCTGCGGGTAGCAGGGGCTGCCCGCCAAGACCTCAACAAGGCCTGCGGATGCAGATGCTTCGGGCGGCCTGAGCTACAGAGCGCACCAGGAGGCCAAGGCCGGACACAGAAAACCAAATTCAGATGTGCTGGACCCTCTTGGCAGATGCACGGGTCAGGGATTGCACCATGGCCTGCGAGCTGAGCCACAACTCTGGCTCTGCTTTCCGTGTCCCAGGGGAGAAGCTGCAAGACAAGCGCTCTGGTCGAGCCGTTCAGCCGTGAAGCAGCCAAGCCCGGGCTGTGGGCACACAGCCGCCATCAGCATCTGCCTGCCACCGGAACCCACGGCCCTTCTGCCATCGGCCCTGCTGCTTGGCGCCGGGGCGGGTGGTGGTGGGCAGAGGTAGCTCTTTCTTCCGCTGAGGCTCCTACCTGATGTACCACCAGCCCTCCAAATTCTTCCGGATCACTTCCACAGTGACGCCCTTCTCAAAGCCAATCTCGTCCTTGCTTTGGCTGGTGTAAGGCTGCACAGTGACGTACTTCTCCTCTGTGGGGAGTGAAGCAAGGAGGCGCGGTTATTTGAGGCTGGAGTGCAGGCCCTCCTTCCTGTCTTCTCCTCCGCTGGCCTGGCCCTGCTCAGCTGGGCGCCTCACTGCTGCTCCCGGTGTGTGCAGAAGCCAGCGGGGGCCCCGGGCGGCCTGGCTCAGCCCTGACAGTACAGTGCTGGCTCTCCCAGCCTCCCAGCCCACTAACAGCCGCCGGCTGCTGGGGCCCGGGGTCCTCAGGGCCCCCAAAGCTACCCCAGCGGAGGGCACAGCTAGAGGAATCTGCTCCTCGTGGGGCCTGAGGCAGGAAGTCCCTGGGATGTCTGGAGGCCCCCCGGCATGCCCTCCCCTTCCCTGAACATGCCATGCTTCCGTCCGTGCCCTAGACTGGTTCTCGGAGTCCCTCTCCCACCTCTACTCCTTAGGTCCTGCCTCTGTCTGACCTTCCGGCAGCTCCAGGGGCACCTCCTTGGTGAAGGCTCCCCTGACCACTAATTCGATCGCCTCATCAGGTCATTTCCCCCAGAGGATTGTGGGGAACACGTGTTCTATGGGAACAGTTACATGTGTTTTAAGACAAGGGTCTGGCGGCCAAACGATCGATGGCAGCACCGAGTGCAGCCACCAGGCAGGGCCTCCCAGAGTGCCAAGCTAACCGCTCGGCTTGGCAGTGCCCGTGTGCGGAGCTGCCTGCTCCAGGGTCCCCCCCCCCAGGTACTGGGAAGGAGGCGCCCTATGGGAACTCAGGAAAAGCCTGAGAGGACAGGTGTGGGGACAGCTCCAGCTTCCTGGATTCCTTCGGCTTCTCTCCTGCAGGGGCCCCTGCTGCCTCTGCCTGGGCCCTAGCTCAGGCTTCCAGGGAGGTGCTTCTGTGACCCACAGCTGCCGGCCACAGACACCCCGCCTCCTGGGTGGAGAGCCTCCCCAGGGGAACGTTCAGGTCTCAGGAAGGAGCACACATATCCCCACCCTCACCGTCTGGGAGAATGAGGAGCTGAGCTAGACAGAACTGGCCCCCTGGCCACACCTTTTGAGCGGGTCACCCCAAACTCATGCTGGCCCCTCCAGCCTGTGCCCGGCACACAATGGGGGCTCCAAAGGGACTAGGCAGTGCATCGTTGAAGGGCAAGGCTGTCTGAACAGGGGCACTAAGTGGGAGGCTTTCTAGGAGCTCAAAATAGCAGGAGGCCGGGTTCTCAGATGCCTACCCCCCTCCTCCCAGCTCCCAACTGTGAGGGTAACTCCTGGACGCCTTAGCGGCACCCTGATGGGCGGCCTGGTCGGAGCCTCTGGCAGGAGTGGGGGAGGGGGGCGGCTGCCACCCCAGCCCCCTGCGGCAGGAGGCCCATCTGTTCACGCTGGATTACCGGGGTCCCGCCTATAGCCCGGCGCTGGGCCGAGGTAGCTGCTCCCTCCGGGGTGGAGGCGGCTTCCCTGCCGGGCTGCAGGGGCCGCGCTGATGGGCCTGGCTGAATCCAAAAGGTCGCCAAAGGCAAAAGTAGGTGACGACCCATGGGAGCCTCCACTGTTCCTCAACATGCTCTTCTCAACGGTGAGCTCTTCCCAGAGGCAGGCCTTTCTCACCATCGACTAACTCCTGGAAGCTTTCAAATTCCCCTCCAGCCATGCTGAGGAGAGCTGCCAACACTGCCTGAGAACCTCATCCAGCCAGATTCTGACTCGGGCCTTTGAGAAGTGCAGTGTTCTGCAGGCCAACCCTCGGCACTCCTGCCTGCTGCTGGTCCCACTCCATTTTCCAGTGGGGCACAATCCTGGCCCGGGCCATGGCCAGAAGGGCAGCGCCAGGCCCCGGGGATCTAGGGTTCTGAGGTTAGGGTGAGGCGAGGCCTGGGCTCCACATTTTGCCTTTGTTCAGCTGGGCTATTTTTAAAAAGCCTGTGGTTCCAGCAGGAAGCCATCATTAAAGTTTTCCTAGGCAAAGTTGCTTTTGCAGGGAAAAATTACAGCCCTTCTCTTAGAAAGATCAGAGGGGCCCTGCCCTGCTGCATGGCAGTGAACTGGGCCTCACCAGGATGTGTGGGCTCAGGCTCCGGAGCCGTCAGGCCCGAACAGCAGCCTCTGCAGTCGCCGGTGTGTGTGCTGAAGACAGAGCACCAAGGGCCACATAGGGGCCCTACTCTCCCTTGACCCTCTCAGGGAGGGCAGAGCCAAGCACCTCTGTCTTACCCAGGAAAGCTGAGCTGCTCCTACAAAATGCCCTGTGCTTGGTGGCCCTCAGGCTGCCATGAACACAGATGTCTGGGAGTTTATGGTCCCAGGAAGAGGTCTGGCCGGCTCAGAGGTGTGTCCTGCCCCGTCACGGTGCAGGTTCTAGATGATGAGCACTCAGAGGGCAACTCTTCCAATCAGTCTGGGTGAGGGCTGACTTTTCTGTCATGGTGGCTTCGGTGGCAGAGGCGTGGCTTACCTCCATGTAGACACGTGCCACGTGGGTCTCAGGTTCCCAGCTCCCAGGTTTCCCTGGACGGAGCAGCAGAGCTGGCCCCTCTAGTGGACCAGGCCACAACCCCACTTGGGGGCAGGGGTGGGGAGTGGGGAGCCAGTATGGAGGATGCCCGGACAAACTGAAATGGTCTCAGGGTGGGGCTGAGTCATTCGGGGTGCTTCGAGTCTCTAGAAGAGACCCTTAGGAATCAAAGTGGAGGAGAGGGGCGCTGTAAGCCCTGGGGGGCACTTCAGGGTTTCTGGGAAGCACTGAGGGGCCGTGGTCACTCTGATGTGCCATCAAAGGAGTTGGTGGCAACTCCGCCCTAGGGAGGGCTGACCAGGCCGCCCACTGGGTGGGTGGGTGGCTGGGGGAGGTGGACAGGCCTGTTTTGGTTTTGGAGGCGGGGGCTGGAGAGCCCTGCAGTTTCCAAACCACAGACGCCTCCTCTTTCAAATGCTTTCCCCTCCGTCAGCAGTCTCCCTGGCTCCCCTCCCGGCCCCCACAACCTACCCAACCCCACTGCAAGAGGCCTTTTGCTTCCAAAGGCCTAGTTGGCGGAGGGGCTGGGGAGTGGAGGCCCTGGGGAAGCACAGCTTCTCTCTTGTCTAGTTGTATATGACCCACCGCCTGTTTCCCCCCACCAGCTCCGCTGTTAGCAGCGGACTTTCTCCCAGCCAACTTTCTGCAAGTTTGTCTTGGCTGCCTGATTTAACTTAGCCCTGATTTAACTTAGGGCTAAGACTGGGAAATAATGCGTGTTTAGGTATCTTATTGGAGAGAGAGGGAGGGAGGGCGGGAGGGAGAGAAGTTGTGGGCTTGTGTTTGCTTACGTATTTGCATATGTATGGCTGTCTATAGAACTACGCATTTCGCTGGGCATGTGCGTCCATGTGTCGCACTGTGTGTGTACATACGGTGGGAGGATTACGTATGAGGCCGTATTCGAAGCCGTACGTGTACTCGGCCCCCACTGCAGAGGGGTACGTACATCATGGCCGTGAGCAGCCAGCTGGCGCATCTGTGAGCGTCAATGTGTGTGTGGAACGGTCTACATGTGCTTGCATAAGTGGAATTGTGTGTGTGGGCGTGTGAGCGGTGTGTGCGGGCTGGGTGCACGGGTAGGCGCGTTCGTCACTTGTGAGTGGCCGTGAGCTTGTGGAGAGAGTCGTGTGTGGGGCTTGGTGTACGATGGAGTCTGGAGCAGATGCTGGAGGGGATGGGGGGAAGGCCAGACCTTTGTCTCCGCTGTTTTTCCAGGCCAGCATCCCACTCTCCTCTGCTGCCAAGGCTCAGGGCTGCGTCCCAGCCCGGCCCCCCAGCAACGCTGCCCCACCACTCCTAGGTCTAGGGTGCCTCTGCTTTACGTTCAAGCTTGTTCTTGCTGCTTCCATGACTTGGCCTCCTGCCCTGCTCCAGCCCTCAGGGTCCAACCCTTGCTCCACCCTCAGGATAAGCTGGGCTCCCACCACCAGGGCTCTGAACATGACGCCGAGCCAGCCACAGGCGGTGGCCACCTCGGTGTCCAGGCTTGCTGGCCTGGGGCTTGGGGCAGATACCAAAACATGGTCTCAGGGTTGTTGAGGAACAAGCTTTGGGGGTGGGGGTGAGAGTCACGGGGCATCCCTGCTGCGCTAGAACACGCCCTTCCAGCTGTGCTCTCTGCGGGACAGGAGAAATGAGCCCCCGCTGGCTTGCGGGCTCCGGAGACGTTTAGGTGTTCAGAGGCTCGCCCCTGAACTCCCTACTTCCCAAGCTCCTAGATGTTGGAAAGGCCCTAAACCTACAAATGTCCTGATTTCCGATCAGCCTGGGTGGCAGGCCAGGGGCCTCCCTGGAATCTTCTTGATCGGGGCCCTCACAAAGTGCCAACGCCTAGTGCTGAAGACGCTGGAGGCTCCTGGCTGAACCCGCCGCCGCCTTCAGAGCTGGCTGGGGCCGTGCCCCGGGACCAAGCCGGGACTGGCTTTTGCTCCCTTTCTAATTTCCCTGGAGCTAGCTGGCTGAAGGAGGGGGGCTGTGGGCTGGTCCTGCTTCCCATTCCGTGCCTAAGGAATGGCTAGACCAGCTTCGGCTGAGGGAGCACCTTCTGAGAGGAAGCGGGCAATGAAGGGTGAAGGACGAGCAGGACAGCGCTGCACGGACGGACACACCCCCAGTTCTCTTCATCTGAAGCTTCCAGGGCAAATGCGGCCTTTCTTAGTCCAGCCGCCCCCACAATCACGTCGTGGGTCCCATGACCCCCACCCGCCGGATGCTGGCAGAAGCCAGAGCCACCCCCAATTCCCAGGCAGCCCCCTGTGCCCTCCTCCCCGACGGCCCCCAGCCACAGAATGTGAGAGAAAGTCTGGCTGCCGAATCCAGGTGAGGAGGCCCCAGGGAAGAGAGGAGCAGAGCTCAGAGAGGAGGCAGGGCGTTAGCGCATGAGCGAGAGGGAGAGAGGCGGCAGCTGCGGGTCAAGAGAAGCCGGCTCCCACAGTCACCTCGGCTGTGCTGCCTGTTGACCATCCCGCCCAGGGTCCACCGGCGATCCAGACGCCGCAGATGGGCCTTGCGTCTCTTGGATACTGGTGTGGGAGATGGCAATGGAACACGCGGCCGACGGAACCGGCGGAGAGAATGGAGATGAGGATGAGATGGGGCAGGGGAGGGATGGCGGGAGGGAAGGTTCATACTCCCAGGTCCTCATCACAGGGACCCAGCGGCACGCACCTGCTGGACGGGGGCAGATCTGCCCGGTGATGCCACCGGCACCAGGGGAAAGGCTATGGTTTATACCCGTGAGCCCAGGAGGGGCTGAGAACTTCGAATCCTAGCACCTGAGAGGTGAAAAGGGTCCTTGGCCCCAGCCTGGCACAGGGACGGCCCTCCAGGCAGTCGTGGGGCCCAGCACAGGGCCTGCCACGCGGCCGGTAGCTAGGAAATGTTGTGGAGTGAAATGCACACAGGGATGGATGCCACGGGCCTTGATTCTGCTCCTTCACTGCACACTGCCCGCTGGATGTGCAACAACAGGGGACCCGCCCCCCAGCTTCTCAGTGCTGCAGACCCCCCCGTCTAGCCCCCCGTCTCTGCGGTGGCATCCTGTGCTGCTCCTCTGGTTGCTGTGGCCCAGCTCCACCAGCCCTCTGCCTTCCTCTGGGCTGCCCCGGTGCAACAGACCCCAGACCGGGCAGCACCCCCGGGGCCCCCACCTCCTGGCACTGCAGAAGCTGGGTGGCAGGTTGCCCAAGTATAGGGGAGGGAGGCCAGCAGTCAGAGTCAAGGGAAAACTGTCCAGACACACCTGAGCCAAGCCTCCTGGGAAGTATTTGCTCTCCTTGAGGGAGGAGCAGTGTCTTGTTTGACCTGCCTCTTGTAAGCAGGAGGCCTGGACAAAAGGTTGGAGGTATGCATTCAGGTGAGGTCTCACTGCCAGGTTACTGTGTCACCTGGGGCAGGCTTCTGTCCTTCTCTAAGCCTGTTCCCTCATCTGTCACGGGGGTTGACACCACCTGCCCAGGCATGGGAGGGGACAAGGGACTCAACAGCCTCTGGAAAATAAATGAGGTCCTGTCTGAGGCCAGACTGGGAAGGACTCTGACAGCTGACCTCCCGGGCAGGTGTGTTCTGTGGTTTCCCTGGGGGTGGAGGAGTTCGGCTGATGCCCAGGCCGGGGGCCCCCTTAGCCATAAGTGGTCTCTCTCTAGTTTCAACCACGTACGAGGACTGTCTTGCTGAAGCCTCACAAAAGCTCTGAGCTGTCGGCACCATCTCCACATTAGAAACGGGAAGCCAGAGACGCAGGGGTGTTAAGAAACCCTCTGAGTAACACACCTAAGTGTCGGGGGAGCACACAGATCTAGATGGTCTGGCTCTGGAGCCCAGACTCTTGGCCGGATGATGTTCTTCCTCCTTGACTCTGCGCCCCCTAGCCCACCAGCAAGGGAAAAGGCCCCAACAAGAGGCTGGTGCTGATGCAAAGCCCACCAGGGAGGAAGTTTCCAGGGCATGGGGGCACTGGCAGAGACCCGGGTTCCGGGTCTGCCTCTGCCACAAACTGACCCGGAGACTCTGGGGAGGTGACACCTATCCGGACCTCTCAGAGGCAATGGATCGAGTGCTTCACAAAAGCACCTTGCCAGTGTTGGGCGTGGCCCCCATCATCATCAGTGGGTAAGAGGGTGTTCAACCTCCACCCCAGTCCTCCTACCTCCTACTGCTAACCTCTCAGAGGAATACGAGCAGATACCAGAATGTCTGATAACAGAAATTAACCAAAACAGCCAATTGTCTCTTCTTTCCAAAGCAAGGAAACGCGAGTCCTTCGGGGAGATTTGATGGGATGGCAAAAGGCCTGGAGGAGAGATGGAGGTGGGTAGAGAGAGACTGGTGGACACACCACAGAGATGCTGGGGCCTTGGGCTGGGAGACTGAGCCCCGAGCCCTCCTGTCCAGCGGGGTGGAGATGCCCAAGATAGGATGATGAAATTCCCAGCTGCCCAAACACTGCTGGGGGGGGTTGGGGGGAGACTGGCACACACACACAAACCTGCACTGGCCGCCTGATTCTTCCTCCTGCAAGGTCCAAGTCCTCTACAACCTGCTACTGCTTGTTCTCTGCAAAGCCCTCTCTTCAAGCCAGACAGGCTTCTGTGCACACACACCTCTCCAGCCTACTCTGTCCTGTCCTCTGTCTCCTGACATCTCTGCTCTGACAATCTTAGCATAGCCTTTTCAGGAGGGGCTCTGATTACACACACACACACACACGCACACATACCCCTCAGAGTTGCTTACAAGCAGAATGCTTCATGGACAGCCCTAGGGCGCAGTGGTGAAGAGCACTGGGCCAAGGAAGCTGACCGAGGCTCAAGCCTTACGAGGACAAGCATGTAGCTAACCGTCTGGAAGCCTCAGTTCCTGCATCTGGAAAAAGGGGATGATAACAGGGCCTCCTAGGGTGGTGGGGAAGGCCTTTAAAGTACGAGGCCACACACCTGGGAGTGAATAAGACCTCACCCTACATCCTAGGGATTGTTATTCCTGAGAGAGCCCAGGGTGACCCCAGCATGTGGAAGTGGGTAGGAGGAGCTCAGGGGCTAAAATCCTCCACCACTGCAGAGACCCAGAGGTGAGATTGGGTGCAGGCCCAGCCCCAGGGCTCTGGAGCAGCCAGGAAGGACCGAGCCCCCAGCCTGAACATGCAAACCCTTCCGGATGGAGCCTGGTCCCTGGAAACCTGTCAGGCAACAGGGGCTGCAGCACCAGTCAAGGGACTGAAATAAAGCATTTCCACGGGCAGCAGGGTGGGGTTCCAACCGCCCGCAGTAACTGACGTTCAGGGGAAGGCGGAAGAGGGAGCTGGCGCTTTGCTTGGCAGGCTGCTTATTTTGGCCTGGGCAGCATGGAAGGGAGGGGGTGTGTGTGTGTGGGGGGGCGGGTAACAGGCCTGGAGGTGGCCTGAGCCCTGGGTGACAGGCCTCCATCGCCCTGGCTCTCAGATGTGCCCATTTGGACCATCCCTACTGACCGTTAGGGCAAGCGTTCCTGCCAGGACATGGGGGGGGTTTGGCAGTTACTAGGAGCAGGCAGCCAGGAACTGGAGGTGGCTCAGGAAGCCTGCTCTGGCGAATACCGGAGTCCACAGACAGGCTGACCAGGCCAGTGCTGGCCCGGCGGTGGGGGTGGGGAGGGGAGCCCCCCGACCCGGGGCCAGACCCAGCAAGCAGGTGGGGGAGAGAGGGGGGGTGGGGAGGGCGGGGGGGGGCAGGCTCTTTGAAACGCAAGGAGAAAACGCCAGAAAAACCCCACCAGGCCAGAGCTAATCAGAGGGGCTAGTGCTGCAAGGGCCACCTTGTGGTTCCTGCTACACTGAGAAATGACTCAGACCTGCTCTCTGTGTCTGCACTCTTGGCCAGGGTAACGGACACCCAGAGCGGAAGCTGTGTGCACACAGCCCTGTGGGGTCATCCCTATGGCACAGAGCACCATGTGGGGTCGGGGAGGCAAAGGTGGGGGTCTCTGTGGGGTCCCCCAGAGGAACCGAGGGCTTCTGCAGAGAAAGGGAGCTTTGGGGTCTAGTCCTAAGACTGTTCTCTCCAGTCTCTGCCCCGAAGTTGCCAAAGCCTGAGATCCACACTCCAGGGAAATTTCCCCTCTAATGTGAGTCCCATGCAGGGCCAGCAGGGACAGACCTGGGACATGGCCCCGCTCCTTTGAGGGGTTCTGATGATTTTAGGGACAAGAGTGGGAAAGCTACCTCCAGAGGAAGTAGGTTCACTCCAAGGGCCAGAAATGGGGTGGGCACCAATCCCTGAGGATCTCGAGGCAGCCTGCTCCCCACATGTGCCTCATTATTCCCCCTCCCCTTGAACCTGCAGGCCCTCACCTTCCCCAGTCTTGGAGGTGTTGATGTCTGAGTCATCCCGAGTACCATTCTGGGCCTCCAGGTAGGTGGCAGGGACCCAGCCCTGCTCCTCAGAGGTGCTCACAAACCACCAGCCTGCAGAGGAGACAAGAGAGAACACAGTCATGAACGCCCAGCGGGATGGGGGTGGGGTGGGTGGGGGAGGGGCCAGGGCACAGAGCCAGACGGCCTGGGCACCCGGCAAACGCCTGGCTCACGTCCGGCCCCGAGAAGCCTAAGCCACACTAAGAAGAAGCCAAGGCACTCCTCAAGAGGAGTGATCCACACTTACACTTGATGCTCGATGGAAAAATTTAACAATGAAAATGAAACAGGGACATATCAAATGTGTGAAAATCACCCTGCAGGAAAGGCCAAGGAAGCTCCGGCTAAACACAGAGACCATTCGAGGTCTCTGAAACCCAGCAGGACTCCTGGTGTGGCTGGGAGTCTGGCATTCTCTGCTTTCAGAGGGATCCAGAGATACATGTGTCACGGTGACCTGTGGGTGGTCGCCGTGCCCCTTTCCCCATCACGGGTCAGTGGCATTTACACGTCGGTGCTACTCACAGCCGCCCTTAACTGTGTTGACATGTCAGTCACACTAAGTGGGCACCGCACCCCTGAATGACCCCTGACGGTCGCGGCCAAATGATAAAAGCTCGCTCCTTTTCTTTCTCATTCGTTGGTTCATTCATCATTTAAACGAATGTTGACTGAGCAAAATACTCTGAGTACCCAGGTCCCGGGACTCCACTCACTGCCTTCAGTCTCTTCCCAGACGGTACTCTTCACAGGATCTTGTCTTCGCCCCCATCCCATTCCGATCCTGCTCTACCCCCAAAGCGATCTGGCACCGATTCTCTTTTTTGTCCATGACTGAGCTCTCTGTTTCCAAATATGGACAGTGCCCTGGCAAGAGATCCTGGGCTTCTCCTGGGGCAGCATGTGATCCCATCGCTGCCCACGGCAGGGAGTGGCTGCCCAGGAAGGGGGACCACTGGGAGCCTCCCGGCTGCTCCTCTCTGGGAGGTAGAGGCGGCTGCCTGAGGGACAGAGGAAAACAGTGTCACCCCTGCGCAGGCCCTCGGCCCCCTGAGCCACCTCCTAGGTCTTCCACTAGGTCCCCGCTGCCCCATGGGACAGGCGTGGGAGAGTGAACAGCCTGTGATCCAGTCTCGAATGCCCATGGCACCCCGCCCTCCCAGGAGCTCCACAACACTGCTTGCAGCTCTGCAAAGCCCACGAGACACGGTAACGTCTGTACGATACCGTGATGACGGATACGTGTCATTACACGCTTGTCCACACAGCACCGAGAGTGAACCCTAATGTAAACTACGGATCTGAGTGACTGGGACGTGTCAGCACAGGTTCATCCATAACAAGTGAACCACTCTGAAGGGGGGTGTCCCTGCATGCGTGGGGGCAGGAAGCACACAGGAAACCTCTGTTCTGCAGCTCAGTCTTGCCCTAGACCTAAAACTGCTCTAAAAAACCCCAGTTTTAACCCACAAACAGGAAAAGCCTTGGACGAGCCATCTGGAAGCTCAAGGCCCAGGCCTCTTTAGCTCAGGGGCCTTTGTTGGGTCACTGTCCCCTCTGGAACCCAGGGTGGAGGCCTTTCCCCCTTCCATTCTCTCCCCTGCCAGAGTCGGTCTTTCCCCAGAGTGGGATTGCGGGGGCGGGTGGCACGTGCACATTCTGGGCCACTGAGGGGGCTCCCTGGGGCAGCACTGCTATTCTCCTAGGAGCCCAGGCCAGAGCCATGTGGCTGCTTCCAAGGCGGTGGCTGATGGAAGCCCCAAAGAAACCTGAAGGCATGAACTCGCAGGGGTCTTTTCCCCTTCTCTTGGCTTCTGGGGGAGCACTGTCTGGAATTCCAGCCGTTTCCGGGGGCTCTTCCACAGAGCCTGACCAGAGGCCATGGAATAGGGTTCCCATCGCATAGAGCTTTTCTACCACAAAGGTAGCTCTGCCTCTTGGACTGCAGGAGTGGGCGTGCCCGGTCAATCATCTTCTGACGGATCTGTCCTCTCCCTGCACACTGAACGGTTCTGGGGCTTTCTCAAGAACCGACACGGGTGCTGTGGTGATCTGAAGGCTAAGTCCCCCGTAAACCAGGAAATGCAGGGCTATGTGGGAAGAGATGGCCTGAGAGTGAAGCAGCGTCACAGTCCAGAGATGGAGAAAGTCAGTCCTGATTAATATTGTTCGAGCTTCAGGTTCTAAGTGGGCTGAAGCTGGACCACCCTGTTGGACTCCCTAATTGCAGTGAGCCGGTGACCTTCCGTGTTATTTAAGCCAGAGCAGGTTTCAATCACAGGAATGGAGTGTCCTCACTAACGCCATTTCTACCCAGCAACCACCAAGGTTCATGACTGAAGGTCCGCCATGGTGAGTCAAATCTGGAGATGAAATGCCAAGTCCACGGGGCACCTGCCACCACAGACCTCAGCCGGTAGGACAGAGCCCTCTGAGCCACTCTCAGTAACCAGTACCTCCCCAAATTCCCACTCACCATGTTAACCTCCAAGAGCCCCCAAAGAACAGTCACAATTCCCAACTTGGAGTCACTTTCGGGAGGGTCTTAAAGACTGAGGCTCTCCCGTGCTCCCCAGGTCCAGGCCCCAGCGCCAAAAGCACACAGGTTTTGGTCCCCATACCTCCAGGCCCTCACCGACCTGAACACCCCCAGTTCTGCCCCCAAAGCCAAGCCAAATCCCAGTGGGCTAAGGACATACCCTGAAGGCCTGCCCTCAAAGGGGAGCTCTGCTTCCCAGGAGAGGGCTTCCCCAGGATGGGCCTGGGCTGGAGCCAGGGATCTTACAGTCATCGGAAAAAACGGGGATGTGCCCGAGAAACAGTGGAACTGGGAAGCATGTGTCTTGGTGAGGATTTGCCGAGACCCCTCCATTCGCAGCCCCTCCCAGCTGCTTCTGTACCAAGGTGTACCACTGCCAACTCCACCCTCTGAAACAGTCCCTTTCTGTCTCCACCGGGAGAGTGTGCCCTTCTTTCTTCGTGTGAGCCGGGGCTTCCCAGGAAAGCAGGCAACTTGGTGGTCTCCTGGGTGGCTGCAGTCAAAGCCTTCTGTTTCTGGAATTTGGGCTCCAAAGTCATCCTTAATTGAGGCAAAGGAGGCAAGCCCCTCTGTGGGCACCAGGAGGGCTGGGGTGGGGGAAGGAGGGGGTGGGAGGGAGAGATTTCTCCATCAGTCCCAACTGAGCTTGCCTTTGTCCTCATCTGGCGTGAAGTGAGTCCATCAGCCTACTGACCTCCTGTTTTCTCCCTCTCCCCAGGGCCATATTGGGGACCAACCCCTTTCCCCTTGTATCCAAGGGCCTCATAATCCCCGGGCTCAGGTCCCTTTTCTGCCAGCATTGTCTCCCCTATCTCATTTCACCCTCCGAGAATCCTTCCTTGTACATCCTGCTCCCTCCTTTCCCCCAGAGTCCTTGACAGTTTTGCTGAGAACACTGGCCTGGGCTTCCACTCCAGCCCTGAAATGTGCAGAGCTAGGCTGAGTGGCTCCGAGTCTCAGGTCCCTCCTGCCTCAGGCCCTGCAGAGAGTTGCCTGTTGCTGGCCTGGCTGTGGGCACCTCCACCGAGCAAAGAAGGACAGGCTCAAACACCGCCCAGGTGGGCATGGGTGAATGTGGGCAGAGGGGCCCACCCCAGCTCCATGCAGACCTCCCAGGAGCCCTGGCATGGGTCACATGTGTCAGTGTCCAGGGGCACACGTGCTCAAGGAGTCGCCTCTACCCTCGTGCACACAAGGCAGATAAATTCCTTATCCACTTCCGTGGTGGTTAAGAATGTGGTTCCTGGAGCCCGGGCTCCCTGGGCCCGTGCCCACCCACAGCTGCTGACAAGCCTCTCCCAGAGGCCAGCAGCTCAGACGTCAGTTGCTATAACCGGGGCTCCCGACCAAAGTCCCTGCTACTCCCCCAAGGAGCAACTGGAGCCTGAACCCCTGGGGGTGGCCCAGCTGGCCAAGAGGGCTCAGGCATCAGCCAGCCCTATGGGACTCCCAGGCTCACCTCCAGTGCCCATGGCATTCTCTTTTCCACAGAGGCGGACAGTGTGTGGGCTGCATGTGGGGGTCGGTGTGGACAAGGCTTTGTATCTTTGAGTACACGGGAGGTGCGTTATGCCCATGTGCATACCACGTGGGTGTGTGCCTTTGTTCTTGTGATGATGATTATGGTCAGGCTAACTTTACATATGTTATTTAATCTTCAAGAATCTTGTGAAGTGTTACTGTCATCATCATCCCCACTTTACAGATGAGGACATTGAGGCAGAGATCACGATTAGGAAGAGGCAGAGCTGGACCCCAATGAACCCAGGCAGTCGGACTCCAGGAACCACATTCTTAACCACCACGGAAGTGGATAAGGAATATATCTGCCTTGTGTGCACGAGGGTAGAGGCGACTCCTTGAGCACGTGTGCCCCTGGACACGGGTACGTGATACATGTCGCTTCGTATGTCATTTGTGTGTGTACAGGATGAGCAGGGACGCGGGGCTGTGTGTACTTGAGTGTGTAGACGGGAGGGTCCTTTGGAAGTAGAGGGTAATAACTAGGGATCTAGGGTCAGCAAGACATAAATTCAGGTCCTGGCTTGCTACTTCCTGTGTGATCTTGGGCAAATCAGTAAATCTCTCCGAGCCTCAGTCTCCCCTCCCTGATATGGGGATAATTAATGGCGCTTACCTCCTAAGGTTGTTGAAGTGGATAAATGAGATAGAAGTAGCTTAGCTTGGGGCCTAGCACAGAGTTGGAGGTCAAAAACCTTGAGCTGTTACCAATATGGTGGTGGTTGTTCAGTATTCTCCTAAACTAACAGCACCCAGGGGTGGCCAGGTGGCGTCTTTGCCTGCAGAGTAGATCAGGAGACACTCAATACAGCTTGGTGAATGGACTTTGGGGTGTGTGTGTGTGTGTGTGTGTGTGTACGTGTGTGTGTGTGTACGTGTGTGTGTGTGTACGTGTGTGTGTGTGTACGTGTGTGTGTGTGTACGCCCATGTAGTTATAATCTGTGGAGTCTGGGGGCTGCCTTCAGGGGTTCCAGAAGAATGGGAGGAGCAATCTCTTACTCTTTCCTTAGCTGATGCAATTCGTGATAGCAAGCATGGTGGGAAATGGGGCCAGAGGGGAGAGGTCTCTGGGGTTTCCCTCCTTGCTCCATACATGTCAGGGTTATCCTCAGCCTGGCTCCTGTCCTTCAGCTCACACAGTCCCCCAGAACAGAGGTCCAACAGCTTCCTCTCTCCTGTCCTACCGCCTCAGCAAGCCCTCCCTAACTGATCTCCAAATCCCAACAGCGTCCCAAGCGTCAACCCCACAATTCACAGCGGCTCATGCACTTGGAGTATTGGTCTTGTTGAGCCTATAAATACGTTTGCTTTGTCTTGAGGGCAGAACTGAGCTTGCAGCAAGCAGCCAGGCAGATGAGGAAACTGAGGCACAGAGCCTAAGTGCTGGAGCCAAAGATCTGAGTCTGAATCCCATCTCTGCCACTTCCATGCCCTGTGGCCTCGGGAAAGGGACTGAAGCTGTAAAAGGACTTCATCTGTAAAACGGTAAGACTACCATCTGCCTTGCAGGCTAGTGGGAGGATGGAGAAGACCAAGAACATCACAGAGGGTCTGGTACATAGGTGCCCCCTAAACGGAAGCTATGAGCTTTACCAGGGGACTCAAGCCACAGGATGTGGAGGGTCAGGTGGCCAACACTCACGGATGCCCAGGGACCAGTTTGAGTCGCCTCGGCGTTTTTCATGTCCCCAGGAAAGTGGGTCCACACTCCAAGCTGGCCTCTGCTAGCCTTTCCCATCCTCTCAGCCTTCATTCTTGGGAGAGGAAATTTACTGAGGTTTCATAAGAGGACTCATCATTGGACTGATGAAGCGGCCAGAGCTGGGCTCAGATGGGGATGACCGTTCTGCCTGGCTGCCAAACCCGGCCTTGCCCCGAGAAGTCAACCCTTGTTTCTAGGCAAAAGGGGAGGAAGTTCTTTTTTGGAAGGAGGTGGGGAACAGATAACTTAGTGGAACAGGAGATGGTAGAGAACCCCCCAGAGGGCCCGGGCTGGCTTGGAGACCCCTCAGCAGACCCCTGTACTCCAGCCTGGCAGCCGGGCACCTGGGGTGCCCTTATGCTGACATGTCCCTCCACCCCCGGCAAGGGGCAGGAGAGGGGCTACTATGCCCCTTGCTTTGAATGGGAAACTGCAAACTGTTGCAGAGGGGCCCCGAAAAGGGAGGCCCCCCCCCACTGGATGTGAAGGAGAAGCCTTCATTCTGGGGGCTCTAGCTGTGATCTTTGGAGCCAAGTCCCCAGACTGGAGAAGCTGTCTGGAAGAATCCCTAGCTGGCCAGTCCCCTGAATGCTGCCTGAGCCTGGTTGCTCCTTCTCTGAGGGCCATGTCTCCACATGTGCCAGAAGAATGTAATTCAGCCAGGTTGGGCAACAGGCTGGGGCCCAGCCTTCTCCAGAGGGCAAAGGCCCAGAAAGAACAGCAATGTCACTTGTCATAGCAGCCAACCCTGCTTGTGAGCCTCAGTAAGAACCCACTTCACAAAGGCCCAGGGGCTGAGGGGGGAGAAGGCCACACCGGAGCAGCCTGGCCTGCACCTCCAGCTCAGGGCAGGGAAGGGGGACCACCCATCTTAGGCGGGGAAGGGGATCCCCAGCCCCAGGAGGGAAAAGCTCAGGCCCAGAAGCCAGACCCTCCCTCTTTCCAGGCTGAGCATAATCCTCAGCTGTTGGGCCAGTTTCAAAGCCCTCTAAAATGGACTCTAACTGGGGCTTGGCACACTGGCATTGGGGGAGGGATAGAAAGAGTGGGAGAGGAAATGGAGACACAGAGAGAAAGACAGAGTCAGAGGTGGGGACAGACAGAAGGTGGGGATGGGAGGACCTGGGCCAGGGGCCGGGGGCTTTAACCTCCCCAAGAGGGGGTTGAGCCTGGCCAAGGCCAACAGGAAGTGACGGGCACTCCCAGGCCACTGCTGTCCCCCAGGCTGACCAGGCCACAATGGTCTCCTTAATGGGAGAGGATGCTGAGCTCATTAGGGCCAAAGGAGGCCAGCTGTACACAATTAGGATGTTAATAAAGTCTTCGGAGGTCACAGCTCAGCCTAGGACAAAACAGCTGGTGGGGGAGGCGGACCCTGCTCCTTCCTCTCACTCTGAAGTTCCCCTCTGTTCTTCAAGGTGTTGTCCTCCAGGAGGCCTTCCCTGACTGCCCCCCCCAATGCTACTGGCCCTGCTCACCCCAGGATTCAGCCCATGGGCACTTTAGTCCCTCCTCCAAGACCTTAGTTTGGATCCTGGCTTCACCATGTCCTAGCTGTGACCTGGAACAGGCTGCTGGCCTCCCCAGGGCCTCATCATACCAGGATACTATGATCTGCCTACAGGGCTGCCTGACATCGGGCACACGTGGTGCACTCAATAACCAAGTGCTTACCAAGCACCTGCTATGTGCTGGCGTCCCAGGCATGGGAACGCTGTAGAGCACACACAGGCCTCAGGCGCTTCCCCCCCACCCCGCCCTGCACACAGGATGGGCCTAAGCACAGCCAGGACACTGGCGTTGAGGCCGGCAGGAGAGGGCCGGGCTCCCCCCACAGAGTAACAGGCAGGATGAGATTCCGAGTTTGGGAGAGCCCAGCAGACTTTAGGTTACTTCTGGGCCTTGCTTTCTTCTTTCCCTTTCCTCCAGGACCTTCGCAGGGTCTGACACGGTTAATGCAGAGCGGAGCGTCTGTGGAACTCCTGCACGCCCAGGCCTCGGCAAGGGGAAGGGTGTGCTGGCAGGGCAGGGACGGAGCTAGGGACAGCAGAGGCACGGTCCCAGGCCTCCAACTCCGGCTCCTTTGAGGGGTGCTCTGTCCAGGGCTTCCCGTATTCTTCCCTCGCAGTGGTTTGGAGAAGGGGAGGTGGCGAGGGTTTGTGAGCCCTGAACGGGGGCAGGGGTGGTGCCGAGAAGGGCAAGGGTGCTGAAGGGGGCCTGGCCAGGCACCTGGGACGGCGCGGCCCACTTGGCCACCCCACACCTGGCACAAAGCTGGGCCCTGAAGGACTGCTTCTGCCCTGGACCTGCCCTGACCCCTTTGCCATGACCTTGGGGCAGATCTGAGGTTTCTACCGGAGAGGGACCAGAGACACTGGAAAGGCTGCCTGCCTATAATCATGCTGTGCCTTTAAGAACAACGAAAGGCAGCCCACCCTCGGCCAGGCCTCCCCTGGCCAGAAGGCTCTGTCACTGAGGCCTCTTGCCAAGACACACTCCAGCTCACAGCACGCGGCTGCCTCAGTCCAAAGCAAACAGGAGCGGGTAAGGGCTCCCCCAGTCTCTCCCAATGCCCCCCCACAGCCCCTGCCTTCCTGCCTGACCCCTTCTTCTTGTTCCGTCTCTGGCACCTATCCCTGCTCTGCTGCCCATGGCCTTCCCTTCCCCCAGATGGGGCTCTCAGGCCACCGGGGCCCCAGAACCTTCCCTGGGCGCCTGAGGCCTGGATTCCAAGACCATTAGCACAGGCTGCTACGTCAGTTTGGAAGGCTCCGTGGAGTCCAGGGCAAGAAGACAGCAAGCACTGGACTGCTGCCACCCCTCCCCCAACTCGGATCCAGCCTGCCCACCTCACTGGACGGGCCCAGAAGGCTGAGGCTATGGGTGAGGCACCCAGGAGAAAGCCTGACTACTGAACGGTCGCAAGCAGAGAGGGGGCACATGATAAAATGACAGGTAGAAGAGAACCATGGTTTTAAGCAAGGACTCTAGAGCCAGGCTGCCTGGGTTTCAATCCCAGCCCTGCTACTAAGTGGCTGTTTGAATGTGGGCAACTGCCTCAATCTCATCTGTAAAACGGACCTATAGTAGGTCTATCTCCCAGCGTTATAAGGGTACAGGAGTTAACCTACAAGAAGTGTTCAGAATCGGGCCTGGTTCCTGGCAAGGCTCACCAAAGCGCTATTATTCAAGTTGAAGTGTAAGTTGCAGGGATTTTTAAGGAGGGAACCATGACCTTGGTGCCCCTC